AAATCACAGTGCCCGGGGCAACAGTGAAAGACGTGGAGTCAGGAATACGGGGGAAATATCTGGTGTTTGGATCTAGGGATTGCCTCTGTGAACAGCTGCCTCCTTTTCCAGGAGACCAGAGGAACTAGCTGGTGCCCAGCCACCAACACTGCACATTTCTACCAAAGTGTCTATAGCAGAATCCTGGTCAGAGGGGGGAACATAGAACAGGATTTCCAAATTCTTATAGACGCAGACTTTCTGGAGCTGTGGGGACTACATGGATCCCTGAAACCATTGCTTTAAGATCATGTTTAAACCTGGAACCAAAAATAGCCCCCTGATTTCTTCTTAAGCTAAATCATAGCTGAGCTGGTACAAAAGGTCCACCGTGAGCGCTGGTGAGGTAATGGCCACAAGTTGGAGCGTGATCCACATGGTCGGCAGTTCAAAACCACCAGCAGCTCCGAGGGAGAAAGACGAGGCTTTCTACTCCAGTCCATAGTCAGTCTCAGAAACCCACCGGGGCTCACTGTGCATCCGCCTGGACTGATGGCGGTGAGTTTGGTTTGGGGTTTTAGGGAGCACTGTAGTCAGTGGAGATCTGCATGGGGGTGAAAAGGGATCTAAATGGAATCAATAAATTGATGACAGCAGCTCAGACGAGTGGAGAGGATGCACTTATCTTGACAATGGAGGGCTCGCTGATAAAAAGAGGGTGGGGAACACGCAGGACTGTGGAGTTGGCGTACTGCTTCTGTGTGTACACCCAACAATAGTGAAATAACACCGTACGTTATAAACTAAAACCACAGAACACAGAGCGAAATCACCGCCATCACACTTAGCAGACACAAAACAAAAAGGTAATGATCACCTAAGAAAATAAAAAATAAGAAAAAGACCATAGAGCAGTAAGCGAAAAACAAGACTCACTGCCACCACGTCACTGATGCCGCCTCCTAGTGACCCTACAGAACAGAGTAAAACTGCTTCTGTGGGTTTCTGAAACTGCAACTTTTTACGGGATTAGAAAGTCCTGTTTGTCTCCCCAAGAGTGGCTAGTGGTTTCAAACTGCTGGCCTTTCGGATCACAGCCTAATGTGTAACCACTATGCCACCAGGGATCCAAGAAATAGGAAAGGGATCTTTAAAGTAAACCTGCTTAAAATTTTGAATGGACAAAAAGAGGTCTCTTTTCCACAAGAACAGAGTGGTATTAAACAAGAACAGAGACATGGGGAAAGAAGCCACCTGGCCCAACCTCTGAAATAAACGAAGGCGGCGTAGGCTTTGTCTGGGGACCGCATCACGTCAAATGAGGACTCTCTGCTGTCAGTGGGCCCTCACCAACCCTCGGGCTTTCCACCTGCCTCAATGACTTCCCCGATGAGAGAGAGGGTTTTCTCCCACTTGTGGACAGTCTGCAGAAAAGGGCCCACAAATCTGCTTCCGGAGATGCTTTGCAGGTTGACGGTGTTGTCATCAAGGCACTGAATAACGTCATCAACAGACCCCAAGATGTAGCCCCGCTCCTGGGTGCCTTTATAATACTTCATCACCGTGAACTTCATGTTTTCCCACGTGTCCAGGATTTCCTTCACAGCCTGTCCAGGAAGGGAAGGGAAAAAATGACATATATATATGTATATATATATATTCATATATGCAGGCACCTATATTAGAAGCACACAACCCCAACACAATGACAGCATTCTTAGCATGCCTTTGATCGACTCCTCAAGGCAGATTCCTGGGTTTCTTGGTAAATAGACTCTATCATAGTGACTTGAGTGTTGGGCTGATAACTGTCAGGTTGATGGTTCAAACTCACCGGCCACTCTGCAGGAGAAAGATGAGGCTGTCTACTCCCATAAAGACTGACAGCCTCAGAAACCATGCAGGCTGTTATGACACAGAATGGACGGCCGTGGACTTGTTTTGGGGCATCTTTGTAATAGCTGCTAACTAAGCATCTGCTTCCTGTCAGGTTAGCAGTTGTTTTACAGGATCTCATTTCCTCTTCAAAACAACCTTGGGGAGGGGGTGTAATTAAAACTCCCCATTTTCTGAGAAGGGAAGTGGGACCACCGAGGGCCAGGACCACTCCTGCTCCGTCTCCAAAATCTTTGTGCTTAGCGCAATTGCTCCTGTGGCTTCTCCACGGGTAAGCAAGAAAGCTTGTCTATCGTGATTCCTGTTCATGAGTTATCTGTATCAAAATGTATTCCTACATACGTACATGTTTGTATATGTTGTGCATAAGCACGTCCATTCTAGGAACATATGTGACTATGTGTACACTTGTAAATGTGTCATGTGTGTATATACATGTATGTGCATCTGTATATGTGTATATGCATGTATACATACTACACTTGATCTTAGGCCAAAGGCTGAGAAGTGATGCCTGTACACACAGACATGTGTATGTT